AAAAGTTGCCAATGGTATTAGTCAAATGGGACGGCAAAAAATCCGTGCACATGATTTTTTGATTATGTAATTACGTATATAGTATATCATCCCATTTCTGACATTTTGAAATTACTATATAAGGAAATCAAAATTGTAAAACAGATAACTACATGGCTTTCTTATTTACGATATTTATAAAAGTTATAGATGTTCTATCATTGTATTTCCATTGACATCGAAATAACACTTATGTATATATGTATGTATATACTAATACACCACTGAATGTAAGAAATTACATATTATTTACTTAAAAAATATAGATAGAAGATAGAATTTAACAACTTAAGGGGGACATTTCAACTACACCAAAGCCTACGACTACAAAAATTAGGGTAGCAGGTGTAACTTATCTAGATCAACTAGTCAACTGAATTTTTGCTGTCGACCACATATATTTTTAAGAAACAAAGGTTGTAGTTTATTAGGTCTTTAATTGGATAATTGGGTGTCTATTTTGGGTCAAATTTCATTTTTTTAACAGACAACTCTTCTTATGAGTTTAATTTATGCACATTTACTCACATAAACACTTTGAATTATTGTATATACCGATAATGAGGATAATCTACTTTTAGGCTCATGAATTCATTTAAATAATTCAGCCACTATTTTCTTTTTAAAAGCGGAGGTTGTGTAGTTTAAAATGTATATTATTTTACAATGTACAGTTTATGTAAAAATCTTGTAGATTTAGACGAGCCGCGGTAAATGGATCTACATACATATATGTAGTAGGCATTACATATATCTCTTTTTTCAGACTGTGTTTACCACTTGTCTTATCTAACAATTAGCGGCTAACCAACTTTTATAAAATTTAATTTACTTTTTTTTTACTGATTTGTAATTTGTCCTTCCGTCGATTTTATTTAGTTATCTTATTAGGAATAAGTTTAAAAACGTTTTATATCCAGACGATTGCATCTTTAATTTTAATCTAAATTATGAAATATTCATATAAATTCATACTAGACTGAGAATGAACACGCTCTCAATTGTTAAAAGGGCGTTACATCAGAATTAGCCATTACTAAGGAAGGACTAACATTTTCATTGTTATTTGATTTGTTTGTTTAAAATCATAATTTGGTGCATATATAAAAATATTTTCTATTATTCTAGATTTTACTGATACATATTCTTAATATAACGCAATGAACGTAATTTTTACAAAATTATAATTCTTTTTTTCAAAACTGACCCCTAAAACAATAAAACATATTTTTAATAAAATTAGGACATTAGTCTTAACTGAATTAGTTAACCAGCACGATTTTCCCTGTCGCTTCTCTGTGGAGTCGGGTTTTGACGCCTACAAATAGAATTTTCTCACCGATTGATGAGTAGATAAATTGTTCAAAAAAATATTTAGTCTGCTACATACATATATTGTCGTCAAAATTAAAAATATACATAGATGTTAGTAAAGAAGTCCTTGCAGCCAAGTGAAAATTAGGGTGGAAAGTATAAACAAAAAAATAACAAACGAATATTTCGCCTAGAGAGTCCATGTGAACAAAATTTTCTTTTCTGATGTAGCATTTATCATTCCCATCTTGACAGAATTTTTTCTGAGCTCAAAAAATTTACAAAGCAGTTGCTGACAACCTCTGCTGTCCAATCGTTCATCCGACCAGTTGGCTAACCATTCATTGCACAATAATTAAAAACAAAGACAAACGATGATGGCTATGCAAATGACAGTCAAAGAAACGTTCATAATTTAAACCACCTTCAACTTACTTGTCACCAACCACGACCAAGTTATACTGAAGAAAAGGACATACCATACAGTTCGCCCATGGCTAATTAAAAAGAGACTGTATACGGGCGAAGTGACGAAAAGGCGAAAATTGAAAAGCAAACTTTAAATAAACAAAAGAAAAGAAATTCTCGCTGATTTAATTCAATGTGAACACAAAAAAAAAATTTAGAGTAATAATGTCCACGGTCGTTCACGATAAGAGGGCATGAAAAAGCAAAAAAGACAAAAGGATAACATTATAAATTTTAATTTCGTTTCACCCACCGCTCTTGGCTATTTAAAATGATGAGTGGTTTGAGAAATGAAGAAAGACATCTACGTTTTTGCCAACATTTCCTACGCAAAATTTTCTCCGCCGCCAACACCGAGGTAATAGCTTTTTTTACATTCTTCATTAACAAAGTCCATCAATGCGGCTAGCGTAAACGCTTTGTCTACACGTTGGATGGCTAAGACTTCCATTGCTGCAGCAAAATTCTTGAAAAGAAAAAGAAAACAAAAGCGATAAAATAATTTGTGTATTTCAAGTTTTATTTAACATTTTGTACTTGAATTTCGGCATTGAAGCGGTACTTAAAATAAACCGAAGAGAATAATGTCTCCTATCCACTTGACAATATATATGGCAAAAAGCCTTTATTTAATTTAATTTTTGCGGTCTTTATTGGCATTAAGGCTTTTTCATATACACAGATATGTGCACATACATATTACTATTAATGAAATGTTTTAGCCCAGGTGTCTGTAGGTATAATAAAGGCGCTGTTATGCAGATGATGACAATCACAGAATTTTAAGTAAATATTATATGTACATACATACATTTGAGTGCACAGAATTTACAATGAAGGCGATTATATAAAAAAATGCTTGTGGTCTTATAAAGTTGGGGAGATTTTTGATATCGAACGTTAATTTAATATAAAACAAAAGTAAATTTAGTTAATAATGTCAATATTTGGTCTTTTTGGATATTTTTAAAACTTTATCAAACATTTACTACCTTTGATTTCGTTGACCTGTTACTCAACACCAGTTCTTTAACGTTCATTTAGTATGGAAATTAGTTAGACTTTGACTTAAACATTTTCAGCATACCAGATACACACCCTCAGATAACGTAAATAATTATATATGTACATTATATGTATTATTTTACTGGGTTGGAAAAATTAATGCGGGCTTATAAAATGTTAATGGGTGGAAAAAAGTATAACGCTAATGCTAATCATACTAAGTATAAAAATTATTTTTAAAATGGGCCAAACAGCTATGAGTGCAAATAAAGGCTTTATATCTATCACTTTTATTTTCATATTGTCATCACTCAACAGAATGATTTTGCCGATTCAGTTTTTAGTCAATTAACTTTTATAGATAACGGAGTAACTAAATTTTCAACGTGTTGTATACTATGTTCGAAATTCGTATAAAGGCACGGTGCTTAGTTCTTTTTAAGTTGGAATGCCTAGTCAGCATTACTTTTGACGCTTGTAACATTCCTTACCAAACAGCGTCGTCATTTCCTAAGCAACCCTACAAAAACTTTTCGCGCAGCCCCACCGAATCACTATTCATCTGTTAAGAAAAATTAATATTGGTCACGAATTTTCCTTCTTGCTTCCTCTATTTCTTTCACAGTATCCTTGTCCTGTATTTTTCTCTTCATTTGACCATTTTTTCATTTCAGTTTTTAAATACATACACACATACAAGCAATTTATATAGCTACCACCAACGACTATATGCATATATATTTTGAAAATACTCGTCCCCAAAAGCCACGATATTCTGGTTTTGGTAGCTTTTTCCTTTTAGCTGCGAAATATCCTTTCAACAACATCAAACCTTGGCAGGCGATTGAATCGGCTAAGTGCTCTTGCTCTTTGGTGTAGCCTGCAAATCTACACGAATGTCTGTATAAAATTCGAATACAGTGGCTGTTGTTTTTTTTAATAGGAGTTGAACAATACGACGTTTGACAATATTTTCTATTAAAATTCCACTGCATCCCTCGCTTCTCCTATAAACATCCATTTCATTGCCCCTTGCAGCTCCACACCCCTTTCCGTTTGTTCTTTATGTTTGGGTGTGGACGGAAAATAAATGTTAAAATTGCAAATAATGAAAAAGGAAGAGGCGACGTAGGCAAGTAAATGAATCTAATAATTTACGAAATAAACCTAAGCTACTCCTTTAAAGTCACAACGCGCTGCTATGAAGTCCCGTTGGTATTTTTGGTGTTAACTGTTGGCACAGTCGCGCTTTTTATTTTTTAAGTATATTTTTTAATGAAAATCTTTCAAGTATTATTTTCGAATTTCTTTTTCCCCCATACCATTTTATTTACTACTTCTACCATAATATTATATGGAATATACCAGTCGACATTAGACACATTAATGAAATGAATTAAGATATTATGTATTTTTATCCCCAAAACAGGGTATACTAAGTTTGCAACAAAGTTTGTAATACCTACAAAGAAACGTGGGAGACTATAAAATAACATACATATACATATGGTAAATGATAAGCGCGATGAGCTGACTCGATTTAGACATATCCGTCTGTATATATGCGAACTAGTCACTCAGTTTAAATAATAATAAACGCTAAACGCAAGCTAAAAGAAGGGAAAGAATATGGAAAAATTTGAATTACTCCTGTTTAACGATTTTATGGCTTTTTCTTTGGATTATTCCTTAAGACCTCCCTGTCGCAAGAAAAACATTTTAAAAAGTTCTGGAATCGTATGTAATTTTTTTATTTTAAACCACACTCGCATTAAAATGCTTGGTAAATATACACATACATAGTCCATGATATTTATACATCTAGGCAAAAATTATATATATACAAATCAAAATGAAAGTATGAACATGCCACCCACCCTGATCATTGAAAATGTCAAAGAACAAGCTACAAACATACGTGTAAACACATGTGAACTGGACAACCGGTAGAATTAGAATCAACCCCAACAGATTCAACAACTCATAGTATACTCAAGAGGCACCCGTAACTTTGCCAAAAGTATGTTTTTTTTCCATTTTCATGCCAAAAACCCTTCACTCTCATATATGCACCCACATAAAAGCGAAGGAACCACCCCTTTTTCCTACCCTTTTATTCTTAAGCAATACATTTCTGGAGGGTTGCTATAGCGCATTAGTTTTCATGAAATTGCGTAAAAATTAAAGCTTTTTGCCTCAAAAATTGATACAGTCAGACAGGGCAAATGGCTCGCTCCGCGCATCTGACGGCACACGCATAACATTTATCCCTTTGCGTACAGCCGAGCGCAGCTTCAAGGCTGCACACTGAACCCGATAATCATGGGCAAAGCAGCAATTGGAGACACTCATCACAACAAACAACATTCTGAGCAACAAAAACAACTATAAACAGTTACAATTACGCACGCACGAGTTGCGAATTACTGACACACATTGTTATCCTGTCGACAGCACCGATATCTGGTACATTTTTATATTTTTAATCAACCCATTTTTTGTGATATTTTCTAAATTTTTTGTGTGATTGATTTTTGCGTTTTTGATTTTTTGTTAGATTGTTGGTGCGTGATGGGTTAATGAATGGGCTAAAATACATGTAAGTATACATACGTATACAAAAGTATATACGAGTATGGTATGTGTTGCCCAGGCAGGCGTGTCCTATGAACAAACAACGCAACTCCACCCTTTCGGTAACATTTTTCAAGTTCGATATTTACGGATTAACTTGGCATGTGATTTTTTATTTGATTTTTTTTTATTCTAACAACTCCTTGCTTCTCGTGACAAATACTAGTGCGTATTTCGTTCCCATTTATATGACATCTTTCGAAATTTTATAATGCTAGTTGTGTGCACATCGTACCCGTGATAGGTGTATTTTTACACATTTTTATTATAAGACCTTCCATTGCTAGTAGGACTAGAATTTTCGTTCATTTTGATTTGTCGATTTGTCGCGCATGTTAATGCATTAATTTTTCAGCAGCCGCTTTGGTATTATATTTAAAATATATTTTGCTAAAAAAGTATATTTTTGATTTAGAAAAAGATGAGAATCCGAGAATATTTTAATTTATTTTTTTACCGACAGAGACTGAAACCATGTGAATGATTATGGATGTGCAATTTCATATTAAGAACTAATTCGAATTTGAAAGCAATTTTGTCGTGTTTTGTGCTTTTCTCGATCTCACTTTGTTTTTTTTTTTTAAATTAGACATTCCTTTTATTTTGAAATTCCTTGAATGATTGCCATGATTCTATTATATAAGATTGTTCTACCAGAGAGCAGGTTTCTTAAACTTTTTTATGAATTTCTTGTCTATACATCTTTTGATGTTTTTGTGTGATTTACACATTTGTTCATAGAACGTTGATTTACAATCTACTAGTATTAAGTTATAACTCAAAAAACACATTTTTATTAGCTTGAGCGTTTGAAAAATATATTTTTGAATTAAAAACCAAAAGAAACAACAGTTTTTTTTGATATTATGAATTAAAATACTTTTGACAGTAGATTGGATATTTTAATTTATTTTGTCTAATACATATACAATATATGTAAGTATGTATAGTACAGATATAATTGATTTGATGCAAAATATTGTAACTCCTCATTCCAATGTTGAGCTTAGCAGTTGGGAAAATTGGTATCCCAGCAGTTTGTTTTAAATATTCATGTATTATTATTAAATTATCTTCCAATGAAATGGGAAAACATTTAATATTTACCTACATATGCACATACATATATGCTAGCAAAAATTACTTATTTCGGGGATAAATGTCTTTATTTTTAATATTAAGTTCGTTATAAATTGCGGTAAGAGTAAAAACTAAAATTTAGTAACCAAAAAAAGAAGTAATGGCGAAAATAAGCACTACAGACAAAGCACCGAAAAAATGTTCATGAAGGGCCGTTTCCTCAATGTATGGTTAAGCGCTTAAATCGAATTTTATAGGCAAAGAATCTGTCTGTTAAGTTCTGGTAAACTATACCGTAAGAAGGAGTCTTCGTTAGTTTCTAACCAGAAGATGAAATGACAGCTGTCATCTGTAAAATTTATAAGAAAAATCGGCTTATATGTTATGCGTATTCATATATGCATATTACACACAAAAAAGCGGTAATAACTTTAAATTTCTGAATATAGTGTAAATATTCGTTTGAAACCGTGCGCTGTTGCAACCATTTAAGGAAAAGAAATGCCGATTTGCGTAGCTGTTACGGAAAAGAACACAAAGCATGCCACCCGAGCATGAGCGGCACGGTCTCTTAGCCTTTCCTTGTCGTATCCTTGCCTGCGAAAACCGTTTTGGGCGGCAAAAAGAGTCCTCGTCTGAACAAGCACATAGATGGCTCATAGCGTTTACACAGTTTTGCGTGTACACAATGCAAGTTTTGTGAACTTTTTTCCCCTCGCTTTCACAATAATTAGACTATCTGTAAGTAAGCTAACCACAACTTGGTGAAAACAGTTTTGTCAGTTGAAGCTATCGTTTAGTTAAGCTACCAGCGGTTAAGAATAATATTAACAGTATATTGAGAAAACGGCCTTAAGACATTTTATCTTTCATCAAACACCCACAAAGCTATAAAGAAAATATCAAAAATAGAGTAAGAACATTGGTACTAACCATCCATATCTATATTGCAATTTTTTATATTCTCACAACATGTTGCAAAAGACTATAATTGTTTTGTTCACCTGACGATCCGGATGACTGAGTATCCATCCGACCGCCTGTTTTTGTTAGCGATATTTTGAGTAAAACTTGAGACGTCTTGATAAAACATGGTACACGTATTCCTAGGCACTCTGAGGAGGCTGATGTTGCAGTTGGCCGAAATCAGACCAATGCCACGTCCAAAAAATGCCCACTCCCCCCTAACGGTTTTGTTAATGAATACTAAAAGTACGATAACTCAGTAAAGAAATTCGTTAGCATTAAATTTCACAAAAAATATGGTACGGAAGGCCTGTATAGAACCTGCTAAAAAGTTGTCAACACTTTTTGTTTCATATCATATTTCACTTTACAGTATATAAATCATGCACTAATTAAGACACCAGAACAAAACTTTACAGAAATAATTCCTTCAATATATGCCATCGTTTACCCGAAAATTGTCTAATTATGAATTTGCAAGACTCCTTATATCGGCTGACTTTATACTAAAAATATCGGTCAATCTGTGAGATGTATAAACGCAATTTAGAGAGAATGTGTACTTTTGGGTCAAAAATGGGTAAATCCTGTTCAATACTTCTCCTAGTCCCCATATACTTAATATAAATATCGGTCAATATGTAAGATATTTTGGCAAAATTAAATGAACGTATAAAATCTGTTATAATACAGCTTGATTCTGAAAATATGTGAATTTGATCCACGTATTGCCCCAGTTCCCATTTGCATTATATACTTTATACCAAATTTACCGATCACTCTGTTGAAAATATTCATGAAATTAGCTGGAAACATATTCTCGAGTATACTTAAGTAATGCTAAAAGTTATTCAGTCCAGACCTTCCCATATCCTAAACCGATATATTGATTTCCGACTTTTCATCTAACTTTATTGTTGGTCTTAATGTGTGATATTTTACTGAAATAAGATTGATATACAAGTAGTTTCTTAAACATAATGAGTTTCTGCGCTGAATATGAATTAAATTGATCTGGACCTTTGGTCTAAACCTCATATCCTTAAAATAATGCCATCTTCCGATTCTTTGGTTGACATTTTACGCATATACCCAATATATTAAATTTAGTTCTTTTGGTAGAGTTTATATCAGATATAACGTATTTTAGTTATTTAGGTTAATTTTTATATAAATATTTCGGACACGAACTAAAATGTAGTAATCAAAGAGAGTATATGATCTATTGTATACTAAGTTAATATCATACTATTCATGGTTTCTTCGGTTTTTCATATTTTAATATAAAGTTTTACTAACGTTTGAAAGTATTTCACCGGCTTTGATAGCTGCAAATTGTTAGAGTATAATATGTTCGATTACACCTGAACTTAGCTCTTTTTTCCTTGTTACCTTTAACATTTTTATATCAATATATATATGGTGTTATAAGCGTCTATTCAGTTATATTGTTATAGTTATATACTTATTATATATATATGTATGCATAATATATTAAATCAAGACGATGTTGGAATATCTATATTTGCATATATTTAAACATGCACACATTTAATGAATAAATTTCTGTACAAAACTGTACTTTGTGGATCCTACTGCTCTTTTTGCGTAATGTCCGGTATGATTTCGCGCTTTCCTTTTTTCTTTATTATTATTTTCAATTTATTGAATTTAATTTGTTTGTTGTTGACTGACCAGCTGTTGTACAAACTCGTACTGTAAAGGAATAGAACTACGCCCAAACTGACAGGACATACATATATGAGTGTTACAACACTATGCTGATAGAAAGTAGACGGAAGGGTGTGGAATGGCAGGGTTGAAGCATACCTTAATGGATAAATATATTGTACACACATGAGTCATTTTTGCTTGCACAAAACGCAATGTCCGGTTAAGGATGAGCCTTTTCGGTCTTCACTTACCTGAAGTCTGCCACATTTATTTTAATTTTAAGCGATCTGCCAGCAACTTGGAATGGTCATAGCGAAAAATTTAGAAACAAGAAAAAACGTTAACTTCGGTTGCGCCGAAGCTATAATACCCTTCACAAAAACAAAGGCCCCTTACAAGAACTTGATTCCGAACATTCAATTTGTATGGCAGCTATATGATATAGTGATCTGATCTGACCAATTTCTGTGGAGAATAATTTGTTGCCTTAAGCAATAACTCGTGCCTAATTTCGTGAAGATACCTCGTCAAATATAAAAATGTTCCATGCAAGCACTTTACTCCGATCGTTCAGTTAATATGGCAGCTATATGCTATAACCATCCGATCCATACCATTTCTTCGGAGATTATATTAATGCTTTAAATAATAATACATGCCAAATTTCGTGAAGATACCTCGTCAAATGAAAGAGTTTTCCATACAAGCACTTCATTCCGATTGTTCAGTTTGAATGGCAGCTATATGCTATAGTCATCCGATCTAAATAATTTCATCGGAGATTACATTGTTGCCTTAACTAATAATCCGTGCCAAATTTCGTGAAGATACCTCGTCAAATGAAAGAGTTTCCCATACAAACACTTGATTCCGATTGTTCAGTTTGTATGGCAGCTATATGCTATAGTGGTCCGATATCGGCCGTTCCGACAAATGAGCAGCTTCTTGGGGAGAAAAAGAAGTGTTCTAAATTTCAGATCGATATCTCAAAAACTGAGGGACTAGTTCGCGTATATATATGGTCTCCGACGTTTCCTTCTGGGTGTTACAAACTTCGTGGCAAAATTAATATACCCTGTTCAGGGTATAAAAATTAATATACCCTGTTCAAGGTATAAAAATATGTTGTGCAGTACAGAGTGCTTATATGTCAGTATATACTTGTAGGTCCTCTGCTAATGCACATGTACGTGTATGTATTAATACCATAGTACATATATACAAATACAAATAGGAATGTTTGTTGCAGAATTGGACATTTTGTTAACGCCAACAAAGCTGGTAAAAGGATCTAAATAATTTAAATAGTCCCAAGGAGTAGATCTTAAAGAAGTTGTATACTGTATAAGAATTAGGGTCTATTTTCATATACTATTGGTCTCATAACGTTTTTGTTTATATACATGTTTCAAATCAAATGGAAAAATGGCCGAGCTTATGCAACAATGGTCACAAACAAACAACCGAACAGCCAGATTTGCATTTTTCCAACAATCGAAAATTTTTTACAATGGACTGTTGGTGCATATCCTTTTGCCATTTGTACATTATTTTCTATGTGCTGCATAAATGTATCCTTTGTTGTAGCTTTTAATAGTTTTTCTAGTCATTGTTGCTTGTTTTGTATTATGTGTATACATAGAGAATAAGAATTATACAATATGAAATCTTTTCAGTTTTATATAAAACTATGCATACTAGCGCCAGGAAATACATTCAATCGGTCAAAAAAGTTCTTTAGCAAAAGATTTGAATGGAGGGGTGCAAAGGAGTATTGTGTGTATGGAAAATTGAAAATGAAACTGCAGTAATGCTGTTTCAACTGAACATGCCAGCCAAGAAGAACAGAGGTAGCTTGGGGTCACTCAGAGGTCAGCAACGGGATTTTTGTATATTCCACACACAATATACAATCTGTTGACAGGGGATGCAGCCGGTTGCAGCCGCTCGACTTATGCAACGAAATCTCATTTTCGTTTCATTTCCTATTGTGCCTGCTGGCACCGTTACAGGCACACTTACTGAGGCAGCGAAAGGTTTTGCCGCCAGTTTTTGATGGTTTTGCACTCAAAAAGGGATTCGAATTAAAATACACACACATCTGTACATATGTTTATTCTCGCATAGTTAAATATCTATTGTCCATACTGAATATCCTTTGTTTAAGGATAAGATAAAAAAATGCGATTTTTTTACTAAAATACTTAAATGTTTCTTTTTTAATCATAATGAGGTGGGCTCAAACTATATTCCAATCTTGTGGATGCCACGTGTCTCTCAAGAGTATTTAATTGGTCTTGTGACATTTTTTTTCAATTAAAAAAAATTATGATAAATTTAAAACTCAGTATTTCTATCCTTGTGGAGTTTAATCTCCTATAAATTTGAAAGTTTTCATTTTGGGTTTGATAAAATTGAATTGTTAATTAAAAGTTGGGACAGATTCCATAAGCGAATATTCGCTGTTTCACAGGTCAGTCTTGTAAAATAATTACATGCACATATCCATATATGGATATGTCTATATACTTTTGTTATACACATATGTAAATTTTGTTTGACTACACTTTGGTGTAGCATATCACATTCTTGCATATTTCAACCCAACAAATACAATTATTCAAATAAACTTTTACCAACGCCATTTTTCATTTTTTCACACAAGAAATCTGTAAGGGTGAAATATCAATGTATTTGACCGAAAATAAATGCACTTATATATGCGTTTTTGATAGGGCTTACATATGGATGTGTCCAACTTAGGCTGTTAGGATTGTGACCAAGGGTTGATTTATAGATATAGATATGGAAGTACACGTATGGCCACGCATACATATATTTAAATAAAAGTATATATGTATTTGTATGTGTATATACTAAAAACTCTTTGAAACACAAAAAAGGTATCTACATACATCCTATATACAAAATATCACCGTTTTATTTATAAATGGGCGATGGGCGACCATTTGTAGTACGAGCATTTCATCAATATTCAAACCCTGAACAGGGTGAACTTAATATTAAGTTTGCCACCCAGTTTTTAACATACAAAAGGAAACGTGGGAGACCCTATAAAGTATATGTATATATAAATGATCAGCGTGACGGGCTGATTTGATTTAGCTATATTCACCTGTCTGTATATAGGCGAGCTAGCCAACTCAGTTGTTTAAATAGCGATCTGAAAATTTGCACACGTCCTTTCTTTGCCAAGTAGCTGCTCATTTTTCGGAACTCTATACATATATGTGTGTAGCTGTCATACAAACTCACCGATGAAAATCAAGTTATTGATGAAAACTCTTTTATTAGATAAGATGTCTTCACGAAATTCGGCAGTGATTATTGTCCAGGGCAACATTACAATCTTTGAACAAATTACAGCAAACTGTTCAGATCGGGCTACTATAACATATTTCTGCCATTCAAGCTGACCGATCAAAATTATGATCTTTACTTTGTCTTATTGAGTAACCTTATTTCGACTCGAACGTTGCTTATATCCAATAACGTGCTAGAAAGAAATAGCAAAACGATTTTCACCAGATGCAAATAACTGACAGAATTAGTTATCCATATAGTTGCTATAAGAAGTGCACCTGTAATGGTATTATAACTTCGGTGTAGCCAAAGTGAACGCTTTTCTTGTTTACTCTAAGCACTCCAAAGGAGATTAAATAGTTTTGCAATTGAATAAAAACTTTTTGCTATTGTTATAATCATGATCGAGTTTGCATCATTGGTATGCCTCATAGCTTGACTTGATGATACACTCATTATAAGTGCATATGTGATGAGATAGTCGAGGTTGAAGTTTTTTTCTACATGGCTAATCTGTAATCGAGAATACGAGTGAAAATTAGTTGATTTAACAATACTATGAAAACTGTTTGTCATCTAGATAAACCAAGTTTTAATTCTAATTTGATCAAAAATAAATAATTCGATGAGCTTTAATTTTGTTGTGGTTGTAGCGGCAGAAAATATTTGAAGAATGGTGCTGAGTTGACAATCGGCTGCGTTGAACCGACAGTTTTTTAAATTCTCGCTTCCCATATATTTCACGGAATCAAATGAAAATCAAATATAAAAACTGAAACATTATAATGAACACACTTAAAAGCCAGAATGCGTCATGAAAATTATTAAGTTATTATCTTAAGGATCTTATAAGAAGCCTTTTTATTAGCAGAAATAAACTTAGTGGTATGTCCATTTAAAATAACGTTTAAAAAATATATTTTTTTGTAGAAAGGCAATAGTGCTCAAAGTAATTCTTATGCTGCTACTGGCTAGACATGTTTTCTTTTCTAGTAATAACATTCATTGCTGTTTTCCTTCTGCACCTTTATTCGCAAGAAATTTACCTATACACATTACTGCAGCATTATTTTTTCGCTTATTCATTGGCACACATATTGATAATGGAGGTGGTTTAAGTAAACATTTTTTTTCAATTAAGAAAGGTTTTTGGGCAACTCACAAAAGAAACAATTTACTAATTACTAATATTCGTCTGCTTTTGGGAATTTTAAATCCTTGCCTCTGATTTCAATTCTCTTATTCCTCAATTCATTTGCACACTCCTTAAGTGTAAGCTGTTATTAGAAGGGTATGTTTTCTACGTTTTTAAATAGTAAGAAGCACCAACTTAAAAATGTCTATGTAGACTGAATACATTTTTACATCAAGTTATCAAGAGAGAAATTACTACTTCGTTTGGGTGTTTGGGTGGAAATTGGAAACGATCTTTCTGCTTTCAATATTTATTAGCCATTGGTATTTACGGCATACTCGTACACCAACACCGCGGTTTGTAGCACGCCTCAAGATAACTAAATATGTCATTAACAAGCAGCACACTTTCCAAGCGCCTACACCCTCTTATAAGCATACATATGTACATAGGTATATACATCTGTTGACTGAACTTATGAGTCGCATAGATCGTGTGGCGTGTGCCAGGGGTGTGCTCCGCTTCTCCACGGGCATGAAGATATAAAAAAATAGAAAAAACATTGTGAACGAGTCGCGCACACGTCAAAAACAAAACTATAGTTTCACCAAAATCGACAGCGTAGAAATATTGCAGCATCTGTGCATAGCTAAAAAGTGAGATCAAAGATGTGGTATTACGTATGCATGTACATAAATTTATATATGTTAAGACACTACACACAACCTTTTTAAGAGGGCTATAAGGAAAAAAGAACGACGTCAAAGGTCAGTGCAGCATACGCCGTAACTGTATTAAGGTCTCCTCTACCTAAACGAAAAAGAAAAATGTAAATTTCTCCTGGATCTAAGCGATAAAAAACGCGTGCGATCGTTCAGCACGAGTATGGATTACTTCATGATCATTCCTTTCATCCTTGAGCTCTCTCAGCTGTGCTACCTCGTCGGCTAAGTTCTTAACATCTTGGAATTCAGTGTCGCGTGCTTATACTGTTATACCTATATTTATAAGTAGTTTCCCCTATTTTTTCATCTTCATTTTTTAAACACGTGCGTTCACTCTCATGTCCTTCTATTAAAAAATATTCAAAAGATCAACCCTCTATTAAGGATGCTCGTAGAACACAAAATGGTCCATATGTATGTTGTCTTTCACTTTTTACCTATCATCTACCTATATCGATTTATTTATTGCTTGTTTTGTTTATTCAAATACGCACGTGAGCACAGTGTGTTTCAATTGCTTTACTTCCATAGCCACACAATTAAAAACAAACTCGCGCTATTCACACCGTTTGTATTCCTAAATATTTTTTTTACTTATTATCCCAAATTTTTTCTCCCTATTTTCAGCATTTGCTTAAATTTTAATGCGATTTATAGAACCGTTCATAAGTAACTGGTTTACATACAATTTAACCTGTGATCAAGGCGCATGCTTATTTCTGCTAGTATTTTTTAGAAATGCAATTGTAAATATTAATGTTATTAAAAAATTTCGGTACAATCCAATACCCGCCAAATTGTGCTAACGGTAAAATAAGCGGAGAAATTGTAAAGTTTATATTAGTCCTGGATAAAACTGTTGTGTTTTGCATATGTATGTATTAATTATATTGTTTTACTTATTTTCATTATATATTATATATGTATGTATATGTATAGCTTCAGATACTTAATAAATAAATAGTTAAATATATATATTTGTATTTGGACTCAATCATAGTTTATTTCTTTTAAACTTTCTTACAACTAGTTTTAGCAAATGTGAACATACATATACACATAAAAATAACAAATTTTCAACATTTATCGCGCCAAAAGCAGCTGCTGCAATGCTAAACGAAGTGGTGGAGAAAATAACGAACGGCTCATGCAGCCACTGAGGTAACCTTTGGCCTGTTCGACTGCGCCGTTACCACTAACGCTTCAAATTCTTTTGCTTATGCAGCCACTGGTGCTACCATGTAACGATGATGCAAAACATCAAGGGATCGACGCAAAGGGACTTGCAAACTCACTATACTACCGATAACAACAAACAATGGCAACGTTTTCCAAATTTGACAATACAACAGGCGCACAAGAATTTTTCTTTCAATTCTACCACTTTTACTATTTTTATTTACCATCGATTTTTTGAGTAAAAACTCAAAAACTATTGTATTAGTATTTGTGTGGCAAACACACATCATGTCATTCGTCCACTCACTCACACATTGACTAGCTACTTCATTTACTTCTATTATTCTCACTGATCTGAATCCTCTACTCTATACAATTCACACATTCAATTCGAATCAATTGATTAAAATTTACCCTCAAAAAATATTCACAATGTAAAAAAATATATGATTCATCAATGCATTTTAGTGCTGACAGACGTAAATGAGAATATTCCTGTAGATATTCATGTGCGTGCATACATACTATGTATGTATATTATTATGAAGGGGGTTACATTTTAACAATGTGATATTTTGCTGTATTGAAAATTTTCTAAAGAAATTTGAATTCATTCAGCATAACATGCCGTTGCATAATTTGATGTCATTAAAATAAAATTTCCCATTTTATTACGTATATGAGTTCTGGCGTCAAAAAATCTGATCGTTTCATAGGCCAGAGACCAGGCCACATGCATGCATTTCATAGCAAAAACAGAGCAAAACACAGTGTCTTTCATTATGCATGACAATTTTCATATTCTCTGCCAGTATATTTTTGAGTATGCAACCATATAAATAACATATTTAAATTGTTATACTCTCGCAATATGTTGCAACAGAGTATGATAGTTTTGTTCACCTAACGGTTATTTGTAACACTTATAACTAATCGAGATAGATATAGAGTTAGATAATGATGAGGATTACGAGAATCCGGGTGACTGTCTGTCCGTCTGTCTGTACCAGCGATAACTTGAATAAAAATTAAGTTATCTTGATGAAGCTGGTACACGTTTTCCTTGGTACTATAACAAAGTTGGTATTGCTGATGAACGGAAACGGTCCATTGCCATGCCTATAATATGCTGTTTATCGAAAACATATAAAGTGCTATAACTACGCCACATATTAAACTACGAAACTTTAATTTGGTACATGGAATCACTGTGGCGGGGGCCACCTGTGGGCCGAAAATTTTTAAAAAGTGGGCGTTGACCGCCCAATAACGAAGGTTACTGAGGGTATCACTTTTCAGTATCCCTCTGTAAATGGTTGAATTCGGATTATAACCCCGCTCACCCCCTATATAACGGTGCGTTAAATATAAAAATAAATGCGCAAGGGACATATAATTTTATACTCGATATGGTACAAAAGGGACCACTGATAAATCGTATAACACTTAATGAAAAAACCAAGATGCCCCTAAAACTAAGGAAAGCCATTTTGTCGGTACAATTGGAGCGAATGCTGGTTCACCAATGATTTAACGTACCCCTGCGAAAATAGAGTCGAAAACGTGATCGAAAAGGACTATTGACAGCTCCGTTTCATAATGTTGTCTTTTCATGATTCTTCGGACCCGGTAATATTGCTTAATTATAGAACTATTAAGCCAGGAATTTTTATTGTCTAATTTAATCTCTTTGTTTTTTATTTAAGCCCGAGATCCCACTCCTTAAGTACAGCAGAGATTATTTTTTTTCGAAAAATTCGATTTTTCCCATAATATTATATTTGGAACTGCATTTTGCTTCGAATCGGACATCCTTCCATCAATCATTTTGTTCTTATACACTTAGCAAAAGTTATTACCAAAAAGTCAATAAAAACTAATTTCGTTTGTGACAGCAATAAGCCATCAAATAATAATATAGGCGGTGCAACGGTTATTTGGGAAAATTCAAATAGTATAAAACCAATTTGAAACAAACTGCAATAAAGCAACCACAAACCAAATAAGGCAATCAGTTTTTATACTCTTGCAACATGTTGCTACGGAGTATAATATAATAGTTTTGTTCACCTAACGGTTGTTTGTATCACCTAAAACTAATAGAGACAGATATGAAGTTATGTCTATCTTTCCGTCCGTCCGTCTGTCCGTTTATCTGTGCAAGCTGTAACTTGAGTAAAAATTAAGATATATTGATGAAACTTGGTACACGTGTTCGGCCAATGTGAGAGCTATTTTAATGAAATTAAAAGAGTGTACTTTTCTAATAACAGAGTATCTTTGTGCCTGAAATGTATAAAATCGGGTGAAAACTTTCCTTAGCCCCTTGTAACTGATATTCAGGATTTTGAAACCTCCGGCTGACTTTATTCCATATATAAGTTCTCAAGTTGACTTGCACAATGTCCAAATGAATGCTCCGTTTTCTGTCCCCAATATACACTATAATAATGATTTCTGACCTTCCACCTGACTTGAGGTTGATCAAAATGTGTGATATTTTAATAAAATTTAGTGGCCACATTATCTTAAAAGTTATAAAATTATATTAATGGCTTTGCGCTCAATATAAATGAAATTGGTTTTTCAATATTGCCAATATTTGATCCTTGCATGTTGCAAAAGTATAAAATGTTCGGTTACACCTGAACTTAGCTCTTCCTTACTTCTTTTAATATATAAAGTGAGTTCAAAGGCACAATCCCAAATGAAGAAAGAAAATTAAACGGTTCGCGTGACTATGTACTATAGAACAACTTTACTTTACTACAATACTTCTGATTATAAAAATAAGGCAGACCAATAATGTAGCCATAAACTAATTTAGCAATTTAAATTTTCATCTAAAGGATTAGTTGGTCGTAATAATAGAGTCAAATAGCATGCAACATTTCTCAAGGTGTTAAAAGAGGTTCCATATATGGCTAGGTGAAATAGCTCCGTACTTAAATGGTTAATTCAAAAAGTAATGCAAGCACGCATTTGTAAGTATTTTTCAAATAAAAGCCAATTTATTGAATTCGGACTCAGTTTGTAGTCATGGAAGAATTAGCGAAACTCTTAATAATAATCACACATCATCTACACAATGAGCATATTCATACATGAATTTAAGAAACCACTTTTTTTGTACAATTAAATCTACTCAATTTAGCCTCAAAGTCTTGAGCCTGATTTCTGGCCCATTAATCAAACTATCTCACGGGAAAATTGATAGCATACGCTAGTCATAGTCATACAGGAATGAATATAACTAGGACATGCGTGCATGTGGTAACCAAACGTAAGTTCATACGTGAATAAATATGTAAGTATGCATTATGTAACAATGTATGTAAAAATGTAACAATAAAGTATCGTTGAGCTGTTCGTTACGAATTTGTTATGTAGACATGCTCTAAATAACGTTGGTTTTTATATACTACTATAAGTAAGTTAAATTATTGGAAAAAAACACACTGAAAACTTAAAAAATGCCTGAGGTTAACATACACACTTGCTAACTTTTATATACCATCATCCAGCAAACATATTCGCGCATGTAAAATACATGTAATGCGACAGTTCTCTAAAGTAGTAGTATTTTTGGTTTTCATTTTAACTAATGTGCCACACATAATATAAACATTAATATCTGGTCTACACGCTTGTTGGGTAGTAGTGAAGGTAATGGTTTCATTTTGTTTTGCTTTGTTATGTGCATATTGTTAGTTTGGATTTTATCTTTTTGGCGTTTATCCTGACGAATGAAACTTTGTGCTTATTTGACACTTGATTATTGGTGTAATTTTACATTATCTGATTGTAAAGTTTGTATGTTCATGTCTGAAGTAGAATCGCTTTAGGATATTTATCTGCTCTAAAGAAACAGGGTGTTGATGATAGTCGTATATAACCAAAATCGTGAGCTATTATCTAAAGAGTTTCATTTAATTATAGGTGTTATGCATTAAAAATATAACAGGAAATGGTATAAATAGCGACATAAATCGTTTATACGATAAATACGATATATCTCTTATTAATAATGCAAGAATCGTAAAAGTAAAGAGGTCGATAGATAAAGCTTACATATTTTGCTTAAAAAGAGAAAAAGACCAAAATCTATACACGTCATCTTTCACGATGTCCACGATGTGGTTATGATTTGAAAAGGGTTTAATAACTTAAACAAATAATGAAGTATATATAAATATTTACCAAAATCAATGAGTACTTCTTTCATTCAATGGATTCTTGTACATTTAGCGAATTTAGTTCCCGTCTTCTTGTATAATTACTTCCCAAGCAGACGTATCTTGGTTATGTTGTATTTTGGGAAGATCAATATTTCCCATCATTTAGTTATATATACATATATATTATATATACATATATATTATATATATTTTAGTTAATTCATGCGAGAAGCATTTACCACACCCTGTGAAGTGTTGCCTCTTACTAAAACTATCCATAAAATGCAATCTGCTAATGATTTCTCCAAGGATACAGAAAAACAACTTTAGTCAAAAAACAATCATTCATTTGGGTTAAGAGCAGAATGGTTGATGCAAAATGGTCCAACCTTTATCAAATACAGCAGAAGAAGACAACACCAACTTATATCAACAAAAATTCGCAAACGCACTTTGTGCCCATCTTATCAATTTCCCCAAG